ACTGATAGCTTCCACAACACTTAACCGCTTGATCACTACACCATCTCTGGAAATAGATGCCCAGCTCGTTTAGCAGCACTGAAACACAGACAGCAGCGATATCTTGCTATTTTGGGACATACAGTATATCCCCACATTAAAGATTTTTTTCCTCTATTCAAACAATTGAACATGCTGTTAGATTCTCTCTCTGAAGTGTCAGTGTCCCCCCACAGGTGTCAGTCGGGATCGGCAGTTTAATGAAGTGCTGCATCAACATACTGACTCACATATGCCTTTCCTAAGGAGCGACTGTGACTCATAAAGCAACTGCAGCAAGAGCACACACTCAAAAGCACACACCAGGGTGCAGATGTATACTAAGGAACTCAAGCTCATACATAAATATATATAAATAGCTGAGATGATTTTGTCAGCCAACATTCTCCTGACTACAATTTGCTCTGACAGCAAGAAATAAATAAATGGATCGAAAAAAACACAAAGTTGCTGCTTTGAAGAAATAAATCACAGGTGATCATTCGAATGTGAAGGGAGGTAAAACATTACTTTTGATCACTACCGGAGATTAAACGAAATATCTCGTGCTGCACAACCTATAGCGTGGTATACATGAAAAGGCTGATGATATTCAGCAAAGAGGGCATGCAGGAGAAGAGATAAAAGCTTTTTTTTTAATAGGTGAGGAGGAAATGAGGGGATCGGGAGAGAAATCCTAGGAAGAGGAGCAAGAGAGATGGAAAGAACATTCCTTCTGACATAAGCTGGAGATGAGAGGAAAGGGAGGACAGAGTTTTCACACGTTCATCTTTTTGTTTGAGTGTAAGTGGGAGGTGTGAAAGTAAATATGCATGCATCGCCTGACATACTGCTGTTTACTGTTGAGGGCTGCGTTCAGCTTTTCCTCTGCCTTTCCAAGCTCACTTACTGTATTATAGATAAAGCAAACTTAAAAATGAAAGGAATTCTGGTCAAAAACAACCAAAGCATAATCTAAAGGAGATCTGTGCTCCCTACAAGCTCTTGAGCACCCCTACTGTTTCTCCATCGCTCGTTCCTTTTCTCAAATTCCTTTTCTTTTCCCATACTTATTTTCAAAGGGCTTAGACGGGGAGAGGGGAACGCATTCCCCCCTGTCCCGCCGGAGCATCAATATACAACAGAGCCCAGAGGTCCAAACAGGAGAAAGGCTGAGGAGAGCAACACAAATCCATAATGGATTTTCTTCTCCCTTTCATTCGCTTTCTGCAGGGAAATACAGTGGAGGCATACACTGGCACAGAATGAGAGGCGCAGGGAGGGGAGGGGGGAGAGAAGAGGTGAGGGAGAGAGGTATCAACGGGGAGAGGCCCGACACAGACTCAAAACAGTGTTAATAACAAACGCCCGTAAGAATATTCCTCTCATCTGTCTCTAGAGGGCTTGCGAAAAAAATTAAGGCCAAGCTCATCCCAGAAGATGACGGGAAAAAAGCAGCTTTGGTATAGCTTCGACTGATCTGAGGGCAGGAATTGTCATTAATCAAGTTTGTGTGCAAGTGAAGGGCTGCCAAGAGGTGTGACAGATATATGGCTGCAAGCAATAATATCCTGAAATACAGAAATGCATCAGTGAATAGAAGCTCTGTGGCTCTATCTTATACTTGCAGCTTTACAAGAAGAAGTCTGCCACTCTAGATGGCAATTCAGCCTCACAATATGTATTTCTAAAATCCTGAATGTTTGAAAATACGTAAACTTTGTTAGTGTGAAATTCTGCAAACCAGAGAGAAAATATGTTTACTTTCAATGTCAGTAGGCTACAAGGGAGCTTTCCGCCGAGGCTGCTACATTGACAGTTAAAGATAAGACTGTTTGTTCAGATATTGTTTGTTTCAGTCTTCAAACACAAGTGAGCTTTATTATGTTGCTGGTAACTATTAAAGGTGGGGTATGCTATGTCATTTTGGAGAAACCGGCTCGAGTGCGCTAGAATTGGAAAATACACAACCGGGAAAAATCTGCCACTTCCTTACAGAGCCCCTCCTCCAACACACACGAACGTGCACATGACCAATGAGGGCACGAGATAAATGTGTGCACAGATGGAAGGCTGACAGGCAGGTAGGCCATCCAGTTATTTTAGCCGGGCTGGTTTAAATGATTGGTCGTGCTTTTTACAGCGCCACGGCTTCCACAGATTACATTTTTGTATGTATTTATTGTCAAAGCATTTAATATATTCATTGCTATCGGGATGTTAAGAGCATTCCATGGAATATAACAAAAAGTGTTTCTGAAATAAATTACATACCCCACCTTTAAGTACAACATGTACCAAGTATCATCTTGAATAACCTTTGATGCTGTCATGATTTTCGCAAAATCCGTCTTTGATTAGTCATCAAAGGATCTGCTTGTACTGCCTCTGAATGCATCATTGATTAAAGTCTTTATTCAACTATTTTCCAGTTTCCAGTCCACTATCTTCAGGGGCGTTCACACCAAGTTCTTTTCCCACAATAGTTCATGAGAACTCAGTTCATGAGAACTCTTTTAGTTCTGATGAACTAAAGCAGATCGCGTTCACACCGGAATAAGTTCCTGGGGAAGGATTAGCCAAATGAAGCCGCTGACGTCACTTCTTCTTCTTCTGCTTTGGGTTTACTGGCAGGCTGCAAACAACTTCACGGCGTATACTGCCACCCGAAGTCCCCGGCCAGAAGTCCCCGGAGTTAGGGACTAGCCTTCCGAGTAAATCGCCAGAACACCGACACCTCCTCATCTCCATCGCTCCCATGTTTTCTTCTGTGTTGCCATTGTCACTACCCGATCTGCCGCCCTGCCCTATCTGCAGTGCGCATGTGCGAGATGGTCCGCCATATTGGACAACTACGTACGGCAACCCAAGTAGGACACTTGACACAGTGGCTTTTGGCAAAGCACAAAAAGAAAACTCGAGAGAGATGAGTTATTGTTATTACAACGTGACTTCACTATTATTTAACAACTCTTTTTATTGGGTTCTTTTATTTGGGGTTAAGTACATTGTCAGAATAAGTGAGAAATGGATTTAACTTCTGTTAGACAGCTATATGCCATACAATTTTGCATACATTCACAGTAAATATTTATTCAGTATGATAGCTGTAGTGACAGCCATAAGTTAGTCTCTCTGCGTTTCTGCGCTGGGCGAATGCTAATGCTAATTTGGCTAATGCGAGGATAATAAAATGGCGGCTTGACAAAACTTTTTGGGAGTTTTACGGGGCGTGGTTTGCATTCCGCCCAGCCAATCAGACATAGGAACCTTTTTCTCCCACGAAAAGGGGGTAAAAAAGGTTCTGATTAACCAATTTGGTTCTGATTAACCATGGGGCTTTTTGGTGTGAACGCAAATATACAGTATCTGAGTTCTGATGAACTATTGTGGGAAAAGTACTCCGGTATGAACTCGCCAAATAACACCTTTACGTCCAAACAGGGCTGTTTCTTCTTATAGGCGGACTATGTGGATGCATAGGGCCCCTGCGGCCACTAGGGGGCCCCCAAGCTGAAAGTTCAGGTTCAGCCTCAATATATTTGGGGAGAATTTAAATTAGCCGTCTATATTTGTAGACTCCTGTGTTCGGTGAAGCATTATATGCTTAACAATTAAATGTAGGATATCATATAAACACAACTAAACTGCAATGATAGCAAAGCTGTGGCTTGTGTTTGTGGGGTAATAAAGTCCAAATCATCGTTGGGCTGTCACCCAATGAATGACGTCTGAGGAAGACAAAAAATGTAAATCAAACAGTATTGAGAAAATATTGAATCTATTGCAGTTATTGAGGTAGAGGAGCCTTATTGTTTACCTTTTTAATATAATTCTTTGTAGGTTTCAATTGCTTGGTTTTCGTGAATTTAGCCAGGACATTTCCAGTTTACGACCTGCGTCTTAATTGAATGGTTTTGGCAATCTGTTTTATTGGTAGAATCACATTTTACTCACTACATTAATTGATGAGATCAGGGATGAAAACTGTGATATCACTACAACAAAATCTTATGGTGCAGGGGATGAGTGGTCAGACGGACATGTAGGTTCTCCAATATTCAGATAAGCTATTACCTTATATCGGTTTTGATGAAGCCAAACATAAGTGGTATAAAATATTACTAACAAGCCCAACTTGTGGGGAGGCTCAACTGTAATAAGTATAGCTCAAACTTAAACCAGGAACTCTGTTTGTCAAGTGTTGACCTTAAACCTCAGGGTTATATTGACTTGTGTTTCTTGGCTTGGTTTCTCTGCCTTTATATATGGGAAAGATCAAATGGTTCCCAGCTCTGCCTGTGGTAAAAGCACACTATGTTGAACTTCCATGGATGTCTATTTGAAATGGACCAGGAATCATTCGTTGGTATATACAGTATAGGCGTTATGACATGAGACTTTATAAATATATCTTTTTTTTCTACAAGGTGGTCTTAATGTTCCCTTGTAGTCACTTGTATTAAACAGATATCATACCACTTGACATTGTAAAACAACGTTAAGAACATTTTGTATTCAATATATCCAACAATGTTATCATAGAACCTGTGTTGTTCTGGTATAATATTACGTTTTATTGTGTTATTATTAATGCTGCATACAGTATGTTGGATTTCGTGAAAATGATGAACATGCCCAAAGCCCTGAATTTTAGCCTGGCGAGCGACCATTTTGTATTGTTTATTTCTTATTTTGAGTCATGATTACCAATAGGAATCCATCCTTATTTGACAATGGTCAAGTTACTTTAGTAATCGCTAATCTAACCTTTGTCACTTTAAAAATCTGCATAATTTAACTGCAATTTCTGTCATTTAGGAAAAGTAGATATATATTTGAAATGACACACTGTTGACTATATGTTCAAAAGATCACATTGGTATCTAACTATTGTCAATCTAGAGTATGTCCTATTTAAGGTAAAACACATGCCTGATATAACACATATGATGCACATAAGAAACGTTAGCCGTGTTTACCGTGTTCGCAGGTTCCCCGGGCTGGGCGGCCCGTCATATACAGACAAGATGTCAAAGTCCTCCTCCAGAGCGAAGCCTTGAAACACCAGCTGTATCCGGTTGTGCTCCGCCGCTACGATCACCCACGTACAGTTGGCGTAGTTGGGATAACCGTACGGATAGCCGGGGCTCTCTATCGTCCCATTGGGACTGTTTAGAGTGTAACTGCAGTTCTGAGCTGTGAAGAGAAAACAAGAACAGGCAGTTATTAAAGGTCACTTATTTTTGCAAAATCGACTTTTTCATGTCTTTTATACATCAACATGTAAAGAGATTCTGAAAGTTTCAGGAAAAAAGATGCTCTCACTTTTTTTCCTGATCCATTTATATAAAATTAAAAATTAAAATGAGCTGATCACATTTTAGCCACTTTATGATGTCATAACGAATAGTTTGGCTTGTGTAACTATTAGCCAATCACCAACCAAGGAAGCCCCTCCCCACCACCTTATCACCTGAATCTCCTCCTAGAGCACCATTGTGCTCTTTTTAACCAAATCTCTCTCAGAGGGGCGTGGGGAGGGGCTCCTTATTTTCATCTAAAGTAACAGACAGAGAATCAGCACTTTAGAAACAGGGCTGAAACAGAGGGGATTATGGGATCGGTTTGGTGTTTGGAGCAAAACACTTCAGAGACATGTTTTGTATATATCTGAGACCTATTATATATTGATGGAAAACAGTATAATAGGCGACCTTTAAAAGAGTTTAAGGTGTGTTGGCAAAGTGTAGAAAGTATTTATAGAAGATTAAACCGAAAAAACCTCTACAACCAAAAAAGGAAATGACACAAATCCACTTATGTGCACACCCACAGTCAAACAGCACCAATCGCTGAAACATCCATTATCACCTACAGCATGCAGCCTGAGCCATTAGTAAAGCAACGCTAAATGCTCACCCTCCACCACCTCCATCATCACACACTTGTTAACGCACTGGCCCTCACCACACCAGTAATAGGTTCCCACAGGGCATACATGGAGAGGAGAACATTAGGAAAGGATACACACTAAAGTCCTACCTTTATCTACCCCTTTTGCATCTTTCCTCAAACAGCCTTTCATCTTACATTTATATTGTGTGTGTTATGAGTGCAGGTTGCATGTGTGTAGTATGAGCTATGAGTGTGTGTGTGTGTGTGTGTGTGTGTGTGTGTGTGTGTGTGTGTGTGTGTGTGTGTGTGTGTGTGTGTGTGTGTGTGTGTTTTTAATCCCAAAGCCAAATGACTGATCTGAGCACAGCTGAGACTTTTAATCAATGTTAAAGATCTAGTTATAATTAATCCCCAACGTAGCCTCATGTGTGATTGCACATAATATGTTGTGTAGCTTTAGTGTGTGTTTGTGTTGATCTACTAATGAGTGTGTGTGTGTGTGTGTGTGTGTGTGTGTGTGTGTGTGTGTGTGTGTGTGTGTGTGTGTGTGTGTGTGTGTGTGTGTGTGTGTGTCGCCTCCTAAATCATAACATTTGACATATGAAGGTAATGATGGTTTTTTCCTCCACACTCATTTACCAAAGAAATAAATGACAAAGGCAGCTGAATGTAAGCAGTCACCTGCCAGTCTCCCACTAACAGGTGACAAGAGATTAAAATGTACATTTGTTGGACCATTACAAACCGTAAGCAGTCATGGGTTTTTAACCCTTAAATGTTTATGTATCCTGGGGAAAACGGAGTAATTGCGTTGTAATACGGGTAATATATTGGTATTAAATGGATGTAATATGGGTCTAGTCTTTTATTGGTTTAATAACAATACAACATGGGTGTAACATGGGTAAAATAAGGGTGTAATACAGGTGTAATAATGATGTAACATGGGTCTTATAATGGAGAAATATTGTGTAAGAAGGGTGAAATAATGTTGAAATAGGCGTCTTATAGGGATGTATTTATGTGTAATATGGGTGTTATAACAGTGTATAATGGGTGTAATGTAGAAAATAGCAATCAATACATTTTCCTAAATATGTATTTGTGAATGCCCATTCAAGGGTTACATTTTGGTTCACCATGTTTAAAATAATTGTCCTTTGCCTAAGAAACTTAACATATGTTTTGGCCACACCAAAGGAACCTGCTTAAACACACATCCTTATATAGAGGACTAAGTTAAAACGTCATGCGAGAAAACATGATATTTATATGATTAATGTGTATTTTATTCTTTGTTTGCTTCAGCCACAAACATGCATCATAATGCAGCCTTGTTAAAATGTAAGTAGGAGAGTATAATTGGAGGACATCTGTTATCTGCATAACCAATATTATTTAATATTACAAACACGTGCAGAAGATATGATTTTTGTTTTGTTAATTACATCTAAAGCTGTGTTAAAGTCTGGAATGAATCAATGCAATAAAATACGCTCATTACTTGAGGGCATAGGAAACAGGGCATTTCAAAAAAGAATGCGGAATGTAAACAGGAGCGGCATCGAAACATGTAGAAGTGAAGGTTGCTTTGTTACATTCCTCCACAGGGAATGTGCATCCCTTATTCAATACTTGTGAAACATACAGATTCTGTGCTGCTTCGTAAACTCTCTGATGGATAAACAATCCCAAAGCTGAGGCTCTGTCCAAATGACTCTGAAACGCGCCTCAACACCAGCGGGGATTTACCGATAATAAGGCACCATGCAAGAAGAAAAGACAAAAGGAAAGAAAAAAAGGGGCACTTTTCATTCCTCTCAGTCTTACTCTAAACCGAAAAATAAATAAAACATTTCTTTAAGTAAGTACAGAAGGGAAGAAGAGAATAAATTACCCAAAAATAGGCACGGACATGGATAATCCCTTATTAGCCAGACGAGAGAACGTCACATTTGTTTTCCAAGCAATAAACGAGCTTTAAGATTTAAGGGGCTATGTGCCACATCAGGGTGTTTATGAATTCTGAAATGCCACTGGAAACACACAGACGCACACAAACAAACAAAACCAATATTAGCTTTTTGTTGCAGGCAGCACAGCAGAACATTATCACAATACTTCTGGGGAGGGGAAAAGGAGAGATAGTGTCAGGAGGTAGAGATCCAGACTATCTGGATGGCCTCAGCAGCGAGATGATAATAGCATCTTCAGTCACAGAATATCCATCATTCCTATGTTGACTCCCCGGGGCCTTTCTCATCAAAAAGCAGACAGGGGCCGTCACTTTTCAGCACTTTTCATATGCGCTTGATCTCTTCCAAAAGATGCTAACGTGTGTGTGTACTTGAACCCTTGAATACGCTTAAGTTATATGTGTTATGTCGAGTTCAGCTCTTTGTTTGCTGCTGGGATGAATTCCTCTGCGTAAAAGAATGTGGGAAGATATGAATAAAGTAGTGTGAAATTGGATTGACAGTAGGCTAACTAAATATGACCTATACTGTATAGAAGGCTGAACATAACTGCATTATAGGGCACTCTTCCTCTAGTCTTCTCTCAGTCCTCATCTTTAAGCAGTAACGAGAAGAAAGAAAAATGATCAAAGCGAGAGCTATTTCCATCTGATTTTTCATTATTTCTTTTAAATAGCCCCAGCAAGTGAGCAACCAACCTCCCAATTACCGTAGGTCAATACCATTATCCAGGTAAAACATCCATACCCACGTTTCCAACCTGACTTTCATATCTACAGCATGGTCAATAATCCTCTCATCATCTCCTTCATTATGGCCTCAAACAAATGCCAATCAATGGCTCATACAGCTGCCGCATCCCAGAGTTGATGGGGGTCAGAGTTCACTGTTAACCTCTTCTGCATAGACAATGAGTCAGGGTGCGTGGGCTGGGATGAAGTAAGATACAAATAAAATGGATGTGAAGCCAACTGACTTGTTATTAACCAGTTCCAGGATAGAGTAGAAATGCTCGGAGAAAATAAATTGTTCCTGAGCCTTTTTCCATGTTAGATACTGTTTAGAGTCTTCCTCAGTATTAATATCTGAAAAGGAACTACAAAAATAACGACTAAAGAGGACGTTTTGCAACGAATGAAAAGCGTTTCACATGATCAAAGTGCACGGTTTGTTAGGGGACAGAAGACGCTGTGCCTCCTGATATATGACAGGTGATCAACCATGCAGGAAAGCGGCTCCTTGGTTTATGAGCACAATTAAGCGAAAAAATCACGACAGAGGATAAGTCTACTGAGTGCGCCAGAACTCTAGTTAATGCTACTTTCAAGTGTGAGCATCTGTGCCAAGTGACCGACTTTTAAATCGATATTGACGCACACAATCTGGGATAAAAGACGAAAAGAGGGTTTTCAGAGACCTTGCTGTTTTGGCTGCAGCCACAAATGCTGAAAATTAGATGGTCAGAATAGAATTGGAAACCAAAACAGACACATCAAAGCTCACTTAAGAACGCACTTTTGTAGCAAACCGCTTTACAACAGCATCAAGTTTGATTGTGATACTAATGTTAGTGATGTTTGCTGGATTTTGTAGTGACTCTTATTCTCCATGGACTTTGCACGAGATATATTTTTACCATAAGATACAAGAGCAGGAACCGAGGTACTGTAAGTCTACTCTCTGTTCTTTAGAAACCCAGAGCCTTTGATAAAGTGCATCTTTCACTTGAGGCTCGGTTTAATTATTTAAGCCTCGCCCAGGCTGCATTATGAAATTAGCTGCTGGGAGCTGTTGACCCACTGTGAAGCCCCTCAGTGTAAATCTGGAGGGGAGAGCCCATCCTGCAGTTGACCTCAGTGACACATCATAAAGACCCCATAAAGAGACTGCTGGCCGTGCTGTTTTAGCATGGCGGACCCCCGGCAAAGTAGAAGGTCATGTTTTCTCAAGTTGTTCAGGTGAACCATTAAGAATATGGGGTAGTAAAAGCAATATGCTGGTTCAGCTGTTAGGCATATTGCTAACTTGTTCAAGTGGTTGGCGTATTTTATCCCCCAGCATGCGTATGACAACTATTTTCATTGGCTCGTACTAGAATGTTACCTATGCTTGATATATGTGGAAGTTCAACAGATATGTTGTCCACGTCTAAGCCCACTGTGCCACTGGCAGCATCCGTTTGGCACCGACCATCTCCGGTGTGCATACCGCCAAATGTACAAGGAGAGGTTTGACATTGCTGGGGCAGCCATCCAGTGTGTGTGTGTCTGTGTTTGTGTGTATGTGTGTATGTGTGTATGGGAGCTATTGTTTTCTTTGCCAGGG